ATGATGACCGTTCGATTGTGTCACCAATGACCTCGATCCAATCATTATTATTATAATAACATTTTTAGTCACACACATACATTGTTTTGAAAATTATCAGGAAGTGTTGGAAGGAGTGTAAAACGTGGAGATATCGTGAAAATTTCATTTTAAATTGTCGAGATGATTACAATAACTACTTGAAAAGGCTATTGCAATAACTAACTTGAAAAAGATCGGGAAGTATTGAAAAGAGCGTAAAATTTATTAAACGTCGAGATATAGTGAAAATTTGATTTTAAATTGTTGAGATGATTGCAATAGCTACCCTATCCTGGGAAGTGAAAAATAACAGTCATTTTCTCACGTCCATTCTGAAACGCCGTGAACATAAAATCACCGTCTAATCTCCATTGCTCGAACCAGCCAGTATGACTATTGCAGCCTCCCGCTCGTGTCTGGTATTGCTCCGTGAAGAGGTGCATCGTTTTGCCCCTAACTGTTGTATGCTCCCTGATTGGTGGATGAAACCGGGGTCAGTGGGCCAGGAACGTGGCACACTCGTTTCTCCTAGTAACCAAGGCATCTCAGACCCTTCTCTTTTCCCCTCAGATCCAGCCCTTCCCTCACCCCGCCCTCTCTTCCTCCATACCTCTAACGAGGGGTGACTCTACTGGTGAACGAGGCGAGGGTGAAATTGGGATTCGAGTTGCGTATGCCCTATCTTCCATCCTCTTCCCCTCAAACATTGTCGTTGAAACGCCTTCTAGCCATCCCCGCCCTTCTATCTACCCTAGAAGTTGTCACGCTGGTCTGGCAATGAGCGACACCACGAATCCAACATCCGACCAGAGAATTCCAAATCGAAAGACAGAAATCAAGACAATAGGTGTCAGAGATTACGCAAGCACGATTTTTTTCCGACTAATTGAAGTTTGTCCTCTGAATGATATTTTTTTTTCTTTGTGATCGACACGGTGACACTGATAGACACCCACCATTGCTGCAGACGCTTGGGATGAGCTATTCGATATGATTGATAAAGTGATTGAAGTGTTTTTTTTTTCAGAGGTCTCTTTTATTGGAGTGGGACAGCTGGGGCTGAGGCTAGCAGCCGATATGTGGAAAAGGAGGATATACCACACCGAGTGACCAATGCTAAATTGCATTTTATACAAATTGGAAAATTCTATTTCACTCGTGGGACTGAGAAAAAACGTACACATCAACTTTTCTCCCGTCGATATGGCTTTACGTCCGTGATTTATTTCACAGATTTGACAACGAAGAATTGAATACTCGTGGAGTTTTCATCTGGCGACTGAATTGATTAGAAACATTGGTGGGGCTCGTTTTTTATGATAGCACAGTTTTCTCCAGTGTTGTCCGAGAGGGACAAGTTCCTCGGTGATTCGAATGGACGATGCTTGGGGTGTATGGGGAAAGTAGCAGTTAGACTAAAAGCAAACGCAGATTCTGGAACTGAAATGATCGGGTAGCTTGTCCAGTCGACCCTTCGGTATATATATTCATTTTCTTGTTGCGAGATTGGGTGATACAAATTGTTGTCCATTTAGAATTCTCCAATACATGAAACCTCGATTATAACGTCAATTTTGATGCAGCAATGTCTGGAAAGAAAAAAAAATCTTGAATTGGAAAACAAATTTTCTCAATTCTACAAAAATTATTCTCAATCTACGAGATTTCTTTCTTCAGATCAAAACATTCTTCCTAAGATAAATAGTATTTTTCACGCCTAGGACGGAAAAAGGGAATCTGACGAATGCGACTTTATAGTCCGAGTCGGAGACAAGAATTATAACGTGCATGAGTCAGAATCACTTTTTTCGCCGTGGCTATGATGCTATTTTATGTCATTGTGGCCGAAAACGCGTTTTTATCCGAGCGAAGCGAGGTTAGAAACGCGTTTTACCGGCCTCAATGACATAAAATATTTTTTCTCGTTGTAAGATAACAGTGACCTTATTTTTTTGTTGAATTGAAGAATTCAAGCAGGTATAGGTTTGTTAAGTTCCTTTACGATCCACACCCGCTACTATTTTATGATTTACTTCTAGGTGATATAAAAAGTGTATTATTATTTGAGTGATATTTATATGGAAATATTCCATTCTCCGACTGCGTATATGATATCTATGAGTAAATGATCC